AAAAAAGATGCATCTGAGCTGGGCATGGTGGAGCATGCCTGTAGTCCCAGCACTTGGGAGGTAAAGGACAGCCGGGGCTACAGGGAGACCCTGCTTCAAAAAGACCAAAAAAAAACTGTGTATGTGTGCACACACATGTGTGTTTGTGTGTACAGCTGTTATAGAAAAGGTATATACAGATCATCATACATGCTGATTAGTCTTAACAAATTGTACTTATCTTGAACCTTAACAAACTGCAGTTACCTTGAAGTTTCTTTGGGAGGGTATAGGGTTGAAAATCTCATACACTGCATCATATCATGTCTTTTGGGCTCTAGAGCCCCCTTTGTTCTCTGCAGTTATGTGAGCAGTATGTAGCTTCCAATGAATTAAAGACCCAAAGTTCACAACCATACCAGGATTTTTTTTACCTCTCTCTTCCCAAGATGGCATCTGGACCCAGAGGAGGGGTCAGCCTCGTGGCGTTGGAGCTAGCTCTCTCTTAGCAGGCCAGCTTCTTTGTGCTTCCAGCTGGTCTCTGGACATGGGCTTCTGTCCTGGTCACTTTGGCCACTGAAGAGGAAAGGAAGAGTAAAGCAGGGAGGCTGAGTGTCTGATGGCACGACTGTGTGTGTGGTTTGTTTCTGGATAAAATGCTGGGTGTATGAGGGGGATTACAAGGGATGGCACTTAGAGAGAAAGTAGGAGCAAGTGGAAGGTGGGTGAGTCAAGCCAGAGATTGGATCACGATGAGACTCTCTGCTAGACACTGGCCCCAGAATTTTGCCCTAAAATCCAAGCTTTGGAATGTTTGGAGGTCACGTTCAAGGTAGTTTGGAGAAGAATCATTATCTGTCTTTATAAACTGTGTCCCCTCCTAGGAAGAGCTGTCCAGACAGGCAGGAGGTTGTACTCATGAGTTTGGGTTGAGCCTAAAGCTGAAACAGAGCCTGCAGTCACAGGTCCTGGGATAACCACTGCCTCCCTTGCTTCTCCAGGCATCCGGGGACTGCAGATCTATAAGCTACACAGAGAGGAGAGACCCAACTACCGACTCAAGTGCCTGTGGTGGTTAAACAGCCAGCCTCAGTGGCCCCAGTGGAGCCAGATCTCCTGCCCTTGCTCCTGGCAGCAGGGACGATGGGACTTACGGTTCCAGCCCGTGTACACAGGTGACACTTTCTTCCTGTCCTTCGCAAGGCCACCCATCATCCCCTCTGCTCACACCTGGACTGCTCTTTCCCAGACACTGTGTGCCTATGACCTCAACACCCCACATCCATCCCCACCCATCATAAGCTCCTTGGCCTGGGCCTGAGACATCTGGTCTCATTGCAGGCTGGTGGGACCGCAGGAGCAGGCAGCTGTGCAGCTTCTCCTCCCAGCAGAGGGGTGTGTGTTGCAGCTATGGGCGCTGGGGAGAGTTCCGAGAAGGCTGGAGCGTGGAAAGTCCTTGGCTATTTGGTATGTGTATCCACAGAGATCTCAACCCCACCTGCTCTGGAGCCTACTGCTCTTCCCAGACAAGCTATGAGATCCTCTGAAAACAGCATCTTGTTCCCATTCCTTCCTAGCTCCTTCCTCTCTGACTCTAATTCTCTGATCTTGGAAAATTAGGAAGCTCCCACCCTTCTAGCCTGCTGACATTCTTGAGAATTACGACAGAGTGCATCTTGTTCCATCTCCACTTGGCTTTGTGGCCCCAGCTTAGAGTGGAAAATCTTTCTAGACAAGACAGATGACCTATTTTGACTTTTTCCTCTAGACCTAGTACACAGAGGCAGGGATAAGGCAGGGTAGCCTGACTATGCCCACCTTCTGGCCTGCTCTAGTCTCTCTATCTCTCTACACCATCATCTCTGAATTCTCTACCCCTGGCTCTTTGAGAACTTCTACCATGTGTCCTGCTATGTAATGACCCCAACATGCCTTCAAGAGGGACATATAGGGCCAATCCACCACTAATCACTGACAGTCATTGAACGTCGCAGAATATGAATTGTGTCTTGCCTCATTCTAAAGCCATGCTCTTGCCACCAATGCCACCTGGCTCTGCCAAACCTACCCACTGGTTCCAGGGCCCTGACCCCCTGACATGCTTTCTTCTTCACAGATCAGAAGCTGGAGGTGCAGAACTGGTGTTGCCACTGGAATGACAAGCCCCACTTCTGTGTCCTGTACCAGCTAAGGCATCCCCCTGTGAGCTGTGCTGGGTACAGACCCCCACGGCTTGGTGAGCATCAGGGCTGAGATGGAGCATCCAAGAAGGGAGACTCTTGGCTTCTGGGACATGGAGCCTGGACTGGCAGAGGACCAGCTTCCTAGGGAAGAACTGTGTCCACAAGGGAAGATGGGGACAATTCTTGTGTAAGAGTAACAGCAAACCGAGGAGCTTTGTACATGGCATTGGCAAAGAGGGGAGAAATGACATCAGGAATAACAAGTGGAGAAGGTTGGGGCAGATTCTGTACCCTGGGCGTATTTGCCCAGGCTCTAGTCTACCGGGACAGATGCTTCACCTGCTGGGCAGAAGGAATCTCTGACCGCAGCCCTGATTTTCTTTCTTCTAGCCTGGGCATTTGGGGACCCCCACATCATCACTTTGGATAATGTCAGTTACACCTTCAATGGGTTGGGGGACTTCCTGCTGGTCCAAGCCAGGGACAGAAACTCGTCCTTCCAGCTGCAGGGCCGCACTGCTCAGACCGGCTCAGCCAGTGCCACCAACTTCATTGCCTTTGCTGCTCAGTACAACACCAGTAGCCTGGGCTCTATCACAGTGAGTGAGGGGCTGTCCATGCTGTTCCTGCTTCCCTTCTCCCAAAGCCCTCAGAGACCTTCAACTGGACACTGGAAGAGGAAGAGAATAAAGAAGGGAAGGGAGATTTGTTAGCTACTTTTCTGATTGCTGTGACCAAGCACCCGACAAGCGACTTACAGAAGGAAGGGTTTTGTTTCTTATTGCTTTTTGACACAGGGTCTTACTATGTAGCCCTGGCTGGCCTGGAACTCACTATGTAGACCAGGGGAGCCTTGAACTCTCACAGATTCACCTGCCTCTGCCTCCGAGTGCTGGAATTAAAAGACATGTGCCACCATGCCTGGGGGAAGGAAAGATCTATTTTGGTTCACAGTTTGAGGGTACAGTTAGGGAAGGCCTGGCAGCAGGAGTGTGAGGCGGCTGGTCACATTTTGTCTCCAGTCGGAAGCAGAGAGCAGTGAATGCTGGTGTTCAGTTCACTCCTTTTTATTGAGTCTGGGCTCCCAGCACATGGGATAGTAATGCCCACATTCAGGGTGGGATTGCCTTCCTCAGTTAAATCTTTCTGAAAACACCCTCAAGCAGAGGTCTGTTTCCACGGTAATTCTAAATTCTGTCCAGTTGACAATGAAGATCAACTGTTACAGGGAACAAAGGAGAGTGGACACACCCTATAATGATGTGGAGAGTAAACTCTAGAGATGGCAGGATCAGGGCACACTCTGCCTCTTAATCGCCATTTGATCTTGGAAAAACTCCCGAACTTCCAGTGTCACACTTTCCTTATAGCAAAATGGGGACAATGCTTCTACCTGCCTCACAAGACTGCTGTGAGATAGCCTGGGCCCTGCTGAGCTCTCCCCAGGTGTCAGCTAGTGGAACCATTGCTGCCCTCTCCATCACCTTCCTCTTCCACTGGCCCAGACCTTGGCCTTGCATTACCCTCTAGAGCTTCATTTCCAGGACTCTACCCTGCTGTTGATTGGGCTTAGACCTCCTCCAATTACCTTCCAGGTTCAGTGGCACCTTGAAGCCAATGACACAATCCATGTTCTACACAATAACCAGACTGTGAGCTTCAATGCCAGCCACACAGATGCAGAAGGTAGCCTCTATAGCTGTCAGCCACCCCTCCTACCCACCCCACATCTCTAGGGTTCAGGTCCCAGGGAGAAGTGGACTGGGGCATTACTGTTCCTTCAGCTGCTGCTCTGAAACCTAGCCCAGGAGTCAAACTTTTTCCTCGTTTCAGTCCCAGGGAGGAAGGGTCTCTAGGTTGCTCTAAGTGGTGTGGGACCTTTACTAAAGGCCTGGTCAGGACACCTCAGTGCTGCCCTCAGTCTCCTCTGTGCCATGGGCCTTCACTACTGCTGAGTTGTGACACCCAGTGGTCTTGCCTGGCCAGCATCACTTGCCTCTCCATCTTCTAGGCCTGGAAATATTCAACACCACTGGCATTCTACTGACCCGCAATGGCTCTGAGGTCTCAGCCAACTTTGATGGGACAGTAACCATCTCAGTGATCGCTCTCTCCAACATCCTCCATGCCTCCTCTGGCCTCCCTGAGGAGTACTGGACCCACACAGAGGGACTCCTGGGTAAGAAGAGGGAGCTCAAACCACACAAGAACAGCTGTCCCTACCTACCATGGGCCTCCCTGGCCCGTTCTTTCTCAGCTCCCTAGGGCACAGAGACGGGCTGCTTTCTCCCTGTGCACCTCCCATCTTTGTGAGGGAGCATGAAGATGGAGCTATGAGGAGCCTGGGGGCCCAGCCGCCCTCTCCTCTCTCCAGCCCCACCTTTCCTCTTTTCCCCTTGCCTCCCACCTCCCTTCACATCCTCCTTGGTTTTCTCTTCCCTCTGTGAAGCATCAGGATGGGGTGTGAGTACACGGTCCTCTCCCTTCCTCCTGGGGCCCTGGACCAGGACAAATGGAGCTGAGCTGTTACATGCTCCCTGGGGAAGGGAAGCACCTTCCTGTGGGGGTATCCTCCTGCTCTGTCCCTCAGGGGTCTGGAACGGCAATCCAGAAGATGACTTCAGGATGCCGAATGGTACCACCATCCCAGGAAACAGCTCTGAGGAGGAACTTTTTCACTACGGAATGACCTGTGAGTCTGGGTCTCAGGACCCTTGGGCTATTGGGGCAGGTGCTGAGGGTAGCTGCCATGTTGCCTCCCTCATGGCAATAGAGACCAGATCTCCCTCTTTGGTAAGGGTCACCCCAAGTTTGTCTCCTGCTTTCATCTCACCTGTATGTCTCTACCAGGAAGTGGGGGGTTAGGTGGCCCTCATTCACTAAAGTGGGGATTGTCAGACTCAGAAGCCAGAGCCATTCCAGTCCTCCCTTTGTGTTACCCCTCCCCCACCAAGCCATGCACAGTGAGGGTTAGGGGTGAACACAGCTAGAATATGGCTTTTTCACTCTGGACTCACACAACCATCACATCTTCTGTGTTACAGGGCATATCAATGGGACAGGCCTCCTTGGAACAAGGACTGACAATCTGCCTCCCAATTTCATCCCTGACTTCTTCTCCCAACTTTTGGAAAAGAATGACTTAGATACACACCATAAATTGACATCAGTGTGTAACGGCGGCTTACAATGCATCCAGGACGCTCTGGCCACAGGAAATGTGAACATTGGACTCATTACCGGAAAAATCTCTCAAAGATACCAGGAGATGAACGCCACCCTCAGTAAGTGGTGTGAGGCCCAGGGAGACCTTTCCAGAGCTAGGAAGCAGATGAAGACCTCCATTCCATGATGGTCCTTCAAGCCCCGCATTTTTATCCCTTTAACAGAGCATACCTTCTACTCAGAACACTCCAACAGCTCCTCGGCTCACTTGGGCCCTGCGCTGGACAACAGCCTTCACAGCCCTGTACAGTCTGCCTTGGCCTTTCAGAACTGTTTTCCTGGTCCTCTCTTCTCCCTCCAGTGCTTCTTTGCACTCATGCTTAACTTGGCATATGCTCATCTCTTACCTTCAAGGCCCTTTCCACAGACAGGCTTGCTCTCGCCCGTCCTTCCACAGCACTGTCTCAGTGAGGCCCTTCTCAATGGCCCTGTCTCAGTTCTCATGGTTACCCACACCCCTGACTCACCTTCCCTTCTTAATTTTTTTATTTGGTGTTTATAACTACTGAGCCTATTTTATGATTTTTGCAGGCCTTTTTTTTCATTGCTTGCTCATTGCTATGTCCTAGAGAACAGTACCGTCCATATATCACATGCTCAAGAAAGCTATCATCTGTTGTTTTTTTTTTTTTGTTTTTTGGGGTTTTTTTTTTTGAGACGGGGTCTCCTTGTAGCCCCAGCTGGCCTGGAACTCACTATGTAGACCAGGCTGGCCTCGAACTCACAGAGATCTGCCTGCCTCTTCCTCCCGAGTGCTGGGATTAAAGGCGTGCGCCACCACGCCCAGCACCATCTGAATGAATGTATGAACAATGAAATGCAAATGATAGGGTTCCAAGAAACTGACCATTGAAAGACCTTGAGTGTTTCTTTCTGGAGAATTTCAGTGTCCATCTAGATACCCCCCTCATGGCTTTCAGGCCTTCCCCAGAGATAAAACTGGCCATCTGTTCTTGGTATGGTATGGTATTCTGTTCCAGGAAGGACTAATTCCTGTTTGAGGAGGAGATTGAAAAAGAGAAGCTAACAATTTGGGCAGGTGGGCAGTATGAGCCCAACCTGTGCGGCACAGGTCTGAAAGCAGGAACACAAACTTGCTCCCAGGCTTGAGAAGGGCTCATAGGAAGTTGTGGGGAAAGAGAGCAGAAAGGGAAGCCTGGGGAGTACCCTGCGTCACAGCCAGTCCCCTGTGTGTTTCTCTGTTCAGATCGGAACCCACCCTCTGTCAACTGCTGCAGTGAGATTCAAGCCTACAAGGGGCAGACACAGAGGATTCAGGTCACTAGCGACTCTGAGAATGTCACCTTCACCCTCAGCAACCACTGCACTGACTTTGTGCTCCTTGGTAAGAACCTTTGCCTGGTAGCAGTGTTGGGTTAGGAAGAAAGAGAGGCCAGAGTCAACCTGTGTCTTCTTGCCTTTCTTTACCCTGTATAGTACCCCATCACTTTCTTTTTTAAGGTTTCTTTTTGTAAAGGTTTCTTTTTTAATGTTTTATTTGTTATATATATGGGGGGGGGGAAGTGTATTGCCTATAAGTGCACCCATGTTGTGCAATGCCTGAGGAGGTCCAAAGAGGGTGTCAGATCCCCTGGAACTGGAGTTATGAATGGTTGTTAGCTGCCATATGGGTGCTGGGCCTTGAATCTGGGTCCTCTGCCAGAAGAGCCAGTGTTCTTAACCACTGAGCCATCTCTTCAGTCTCCACTTTCTCATTTGAATACCGAAGACCAATATTTCTCCTTCCTATCTATCTTATCTGTCTGTCTGTCTGTCTATCGATCATCTATCTATCATCTATCGATCTTTAATCCTTCCTCCCTCCCTTCCTTCCTTTCTTCCTTTTTACTTTCTTTCCTTCCCCCTGACACCCCCATCTCAAGACAGGGTCTTACTATATAGCCCAAGCTGACCTGGAACTCCCTATGTAACCCAGGTGACAGCCAACTCATAAGTCTCCTGCCTGGGCCTCTCAAATGCTGGTGTTACAAGTGGGATGGTCAGCGAATGAGGTGGAAAGACCCACTCTGTGGGTGGCACCATTTCACAGGCTAGACTCTGAACTGTATAGAAGGCAAGTCGGGCATGGTGGCACACGCCTTTAATCCCAGCACTCAGGAGGCAGAGGCCAGTGGATCTCTATGAGATTGAGACCAGCCTGGTCTGTATAGTGAGTTCCAGGCTAGTCAGGGCTACAGGGAGCTCTTGTCTCAAATAAACCAAAAAAAAAAAAAAAAAAAAAAAAGAAGAAAGCTAGCTGAGTCGAGGCAACAAACAAAGCAAGCAGCAAGAAGAAGCAGGCGGCTTGGGTGCAGCCATTTTTCCTGCTCCTGACTATGGGTGGATGTGATTAGTTGCTTGGAGTCCTCTCAGTGATAGACTGTAACCTGGAATTGAAGATTTGCGGGGAGACCTGAGGCAGGAAAGGAAATGCCGCTTCTGCAGTTGGGTATCAGATGTCAGAATGCATTGACCACAAGGGCAGAGGATTTCCCTGTTCCTCAATCGCTCATCTTTCCTGGACAGAGAACGGGAGTTTGCTATGGACACCGACAGTGCCAGAACCATGTACTCTGGAGATTGTAGCAAGTCATGCTATGGACGGCTTGTTTTCTATAGTCCAGCCCAAGACTGTGGCCTGCTTCTGCAGACACCAGAGCCAGTGTTTGTACAATGAGACCAGAAGGGCAGGCAATTCCTCTCTTGAAGTAAGTGTTAGAAGGGGGTGGGAAGGTTTCTGTGTTGAGGGGGCAGGAAGTGGAAATGGAAGGGATGTTGTGAGGGCTCTCTCCTGGGCAAGGTGCATGAGGGGAAGTGAGTGGAGTTGTGTTGGGTGAGTAGGGCCATCCTGGGCTACAGGCTCATGTGTGAAGCAGTAGAACTTCACTGTTTGAAGCTCAGGAGAATTTTTATGGCACACTTTCCATTCTACCAGGCTGTGGAAACTTCGATCTCAGCCTTCCTCCACAGTTCCCCAGCATGACACTGAGGCTGAGGGATGGGAAGACATCCCTGTGCTTTCAGGGTCCACATCTTCCAGCACAGCTCTGTCCTGTCTCCTGTCAGGCCCAGGGAGACCTGTGCCTGCTGTGCTCAGTCACAGCAAACGCTTACAGGACACCGTAGAAAACAGCATATAACTTCTTACCAAGAACTCATCTTGATGGTGCTGGGAAGAGAAGAGCAGGTCTCTGTCCTGCTGCCCACCGCGCCCCTTTGTTTGCTCTGCACTCTCCCTCCTGCTGATGAAGCAGCTCTTTTTCAGTTTGGAGGAATTCCTTTCCATCCAAGTTTATAAACAAGCTATTTGACCTAAATTCACAAATCTTGACCCATTTTTTTTTTTTTTTGAGACAGGGTCTCCCTGTAGTCCCAACTGGCCTAGAACTCACTATGTAGACCAGGCTGGCCTTAAACTAACAGAAATCCACCTGCTTCTACCTCTTGAGTGCAGGGATTAAAGGCATGAGCCACCATGCCAGGACATCTTGTCCCATTTTTGCTTTATGTCTTTTTCTTTCCTTACTGCCTCTTCCCTGTCTTACTCTATCAAGGATTCTAGGGAATGCGATACAGTGTGAGAGGAATGAGGCTGAGAGCCTGTTACATGGCCAGGTAGGGGGGTGGTGTGGGTTGGGCAGTCCTGGCCTGCTCAAGAAGGTACTGGAAGAACTAAGACAAGTACTCAGAGCCCCAGACTCTCAACAGTAGAATGGTCAGTGCAGAGACACTAGAAGCCCTTCAACCTCTGCTACGCTGTGACCAGCAAGCCTGTTCTTGTTCCAGTTGACCAGCTGCAAGTGTGATGGGGATACCTTTGGCCAATACTGCGAACACTCTAAGAACCTCTGTGAAGAGCAGTGCTTCCCAAATGTGCCTTGCATTCCTGGGAAGGGCTGTGAGGCCTGCCCTCCAAACATGACCGGAGATGGACGTCACTGTGCAGGTGAGCCAGGAATAGGGCCCTGGCAAGAGGCGGTTCTGGGGGTGGGGCCATCTCAAGAGCCTTCGGTCAGTCAAAGACAAGTTGTGTGTCTCCTGTTTGCAGCAGGCTTTCAGATCGCTCACAATAGGCAGCTGTGACAAAGAGGGCTTAGAAAGGAGCGGTGTGGGGCTGAAGGAGAGGGTGTACAAACAGAGGGTGGGACTTGGGCAACCCAGGGAGACTGAAATGGTCTAGAGAAGGCCAAGCTGGGGCCATCAGGTGCCTCAATGTCTTCAGAGTCATGAGGCTCAAGGGCTCTACTTCTCACAGGTCAGAATTTTTAGAGGAGCTACATGGGAACCTTTCGGCAAAGGGTCCTTGCTTCTCCTCTGAGTTCTCTTCCACCCATATGCCTCTCCACCTCTCAGCCTCTGTAGTAGCCGTGCAGGACATGGCAGGGAGGCCATCCTCAGTCCCCTGAAGGCAGCCAAATAAAATCAGGAGACTGTGTCTTCTGGGAAGAGGCCAGAATGGGCAAAACCAGGAGATGAAAATGAGGAAGGGAGAGAGGAAAATAGACTAGAACCCTTCTTCTACCAGTTTTCTGAGTCGTTCCCTGATATGGATAGTTTGATAAACACACCGCTCCTATAGAAATGAAAGAATACTTACTTAGCAAAGAGGGAAAAGTTGCCTTACAGTAAAATGTCTGGAAGAGAGGATAGCTTGGGGTGCAGGGTGACCCACATGCAGAACCCTGAGCAGACAAGAGGAAAAGAAACTAAGATGTCCTTAGGGTCGGTTCCAGTGGACCACCTGCTCCCGCCAGCTGCCCAGTTGTGGTGTCTGACATTCCTGCTCCTTCTGCAGCTCTGGAGGACTCCTTACTTTGCCAGAACCATTCCTGTCCTGTGAATTATTGCTACAACGGTGGCCACTGCTACATCTCTGGGGCTCCGGACTGCCAGCCCACTTGCACCTGCCCCCCAGCCTTCACCGATGCTCGCTGTCTCTTGGCTGGGAACAATTTCACTCCAACCATCCTCCGAGGTATGACTAAATGTTCCTGCCATTCCTACCCCATACTTCTCTCATGTCTGGGGAAGATGGGAAAACTGGGACCCAGGGCGAAGTTTCTCAAACTCACAGATGAGAACTTTAACACACTTCCCTACTGCATGGTGAACTGCGGACTGTAGGAGCTGGTGAAGGCAGCTGTCCCAGTGTGAATCACGGGCCTCAGTCATCTGAAGAAATCATGAATGAAACAGAAGGCTTCTGGCTCTTTGAGATGAGAGCTTCAGAAGCCCTGGACAGCACAGCAGCATTGGGGTGAGGGCCAGAGGCCTACAGTGATCTTCTATCCCGGTGGATGGAGCTGTATCCCCAAGCTGGCCCAGCAGATGTCTTAGATAAATCCAGTAAACCTGTTGGGTGGCGCTAAATCTGTCTCTTTCCTCTCCAGAGATTCCCTTAAGGACCATCCGGCTCTCACTGAGGGAAAATAGAAACGCCTCCAAAGCTGATGTCAACGCCTCGGTCAGTGCTCTTGCTGGGCTCTGGGTAGGGTGTGGAAGGTTCAGGCAAGAGCCAGGCCTTGACTTATGCATCCTTCATCTAGTTTCATTTGCCAAAGGAGGCTGGAGCCTCCTGTGGGGGAGGGGTGGCTGAAGGGGTTAGGACACCAGGAAACCTCAGGATTAGAGAATGTGTTAGAATTACCATTTTCCCATGAACAGAATCAAGGGTCAACTCAGGCACTCCCTCTGAGCTCATAACCCATACTTTCTGGTTATTATGTGGAAGAAGCACAAGGGAACATTTCACTTCCACCTGACTTCCCAGAGGGACCAGGGGACTCCCTCCTCTGACACCCTGTCCTCCTTTGACACCCTGTCCTTATATATGCTTCCATCAAGGAAAGCAGCCAGATTGCTGAGTGGCTGAGCTCTAGACTCCTATACACGTGAACTCAAATCCTTGCCCTGCTACAGACTAGAGTAGGTATATAAGTAGTTCATCTATTTATAGTGGCTTTGAATATAAAAATGGATGATAGCAACTAAGTAGTGCCTGTGTCACTAGGTTGTGTCAAGGTTTAAATGATAATGTGTTTAAAGTGCTTAGCATAGTGCCCAAAACACAACAGGCATTCAGAATTATTACTATTACTACTACCCTTACTGCTAGAGCTCTCCACACCCTGACTAGTCAGATAGATCTATTGATATTTGTTGACTGCACCTGACTACAGGCTCTTGGAGCATGAATGATTCCTGAGTCACCTTGACATCCCTGGCACCTGGCCATCCCCAGGTCTAGCTAAACAATTTGTGTTCGGTACCTATGAGGGGAGGGGAGGGGCTGGGATCAGAGCCAATGCAGAGGTTATTCACTTCAGATACTCCCCTGCAGTGTGAGGCAGAAGCAGGGCAAAGAATGTAAAGTCCCTCACTCCCCAGTAAGTACTTATTAAGCAGGGACTCGGGCCAGCCACTGGCCTAGGCAGGAGTGTGGAGATTCAGAGATGGGCCCTGAGATGCTCCAGGAGTCCTGGGCTCACATTCAAAGGTGAAACCAAACAAGGATGAATGAATTATCACAGTGGGAAGGGACTCCTCTCTGATCTGGGCCTCACCACCAGCCTAGCCTCCCATTCCCCCACCCTCCACCACTGCAGGTGGCATACAGACTGGGGACACTGGCAGTGCGGGCTTTTCTACGGAACAGCATGGTGGGACTGATACGAATGTAAGTGAGACTAGTGGAATGAACTTAAGTGAGACCGTCCCTGCCTGGTCGCCCAGCCTTCCCCTATTCACCAAACCCTTACTGTCCCCCTCCTGTACAGCTCTCCCCCAGCACTGGGCTCAAAAATCTCCATTCAGCACTGGACAGTCATCTCACACTTCCAGTATCGCCCGGCGGGCCCAGTCATCCACTTCCTGAACAACCAGCTGCTGGATGCTGTGGTGGAGGCCTTCCTCCTCCAGGCTCCGAGAGAGACGCAGACAAGTATCCAGGGCAAGAACAACGTGGCCTTCTTCCCCATCTCAAGGGCAGATGTGCATAATGAGATGGCTTGTGAGTCACTCTATCTTGAGGACACTACAGGGACAGTTGGGGAAGGGGCGACAAGGGGCCTATCACAGATCTGCAGGGCACACCAATCTCTGGTAGAAAGTATTCTGTGCCTGCTAATGGTTTCCATTTATTTACTCATAGGTCTGTTTTTTTGAGACAAGGTCTCACTATGTATCTCAGGCTAGCCTCAAACTCTAGATCCTCTTGCCCTTAGCCTCCCAAGTGCTAGGATTACTACGCCACTGCATTCAGCTGGTTTCTTTCCTTTAATAAAACTGCTCAGTTTTCTTAAACTATCATTGCACTTAACACACAAGGACCTCCCTGTCAGCTCTGCCCTCCAGCTGCAGGATCTTAATTTGAGGTTGGAGACTGGCCAGGGCAGAGAGGCACCACCTAACAGGGTGTGGCCCTGCTCAAACACTACCCTGACCCCCAACTCTGCAGTCCCATTGAGGAAAAGAAAGGGAATTTCTGACAGGCTCTAGTTCTTCTGGACTAGAAGCGAGGGAGGACAAAGAAGAGCCCTTCCTGTTTCCTGGAACAAGGTAGCACATGGAATGATGACCGTGTCCAGCACAGGAAAACTGATGCTATGCTGGGAAAGAGCTGCTTCCAGAATCTGGTTTATGCTTCCTGCTCCTCTGGGCCAAAGGTGAAACCCCTCCAAACTATTGCATGGTGCATAGTCGTAGGGGGTGGGCTGGGGGAAAAGGGCAGCAGTAGCTGTGCTGTGATCCCAGCCCTGACTCTATGTTCATTAAAGAAAACTCAGAGCTAGGAGTGGTGGCGCATGCCTGTAATCACAGCATTTGAAAAGTGGAGGCAGGAGGACCCAGAGCTCAGGGATAGCCTTGGCTGCATAGTAAGTTACATGACAGCCTGGGCTACATGAGATCCTGTCTCACTTGGGAGGCAGAGGCAAGTGGATCTCTGTGCAATTGAGGCCAGCCTGGTCAACATAGCAACTTCCAGCCCAGCTGGGGTTATAGGGAGACCCTGCCTCAAAAACAAAAACAAAAACAAAACGAAAAAAAACAAAGAAAAAAGACAAAGCCCACAATTTTTAATATATATGCATAATATGTTTATTACAGAAAGTGTAGAAATCAAAACTTAAAAGAAGAAAAGAACGTCCAGTCCTAATTCCCGGAGACAATACTACATTGTTTGCACCTTTCCAAATGTTTTCTGTTATGCTTTAAGGAGTTTCACATATTACTTTTTTGAATCTGTGTCTTGCCCTCAGTGAACCTGAGCACACTGGAGACTTACTTCACATGTGATGGCTACCAGGGCTACCACCTGGTCTACAGCCCCCAGAATGGCCTCACTTGCGTGTCCCCCTGTAGAGAGGGTTACTGTCAGAATGGAGCCCAGTGCCAGCACCTGCCCGATGGGCCCCGCTGCAGGTGGGTAAAGTCTGGAGCAGGATGGGGAGGACAGTGCTGGGGAATCCAATCTGGACAAGACACCACAAGGGACCCAGGAAGGCAATGGTCCCTCCCAACATGTGACTCCCTTTTGAGTAGGGAAACAGGAAGTAAAGGAAAAAGGTACCTGGAGAAGAGTGTATGTCATTTCTCTGAGTGGGGAGTAAAGATGTGTATCACCTCTGAGACTCAAACTAGCCACCAGTGGGTATCCAACCATTCAGGAGATGAGAGAATCGCAGTGTAGAATGATAAAGGGCCAGCCTGGCTGGGGGAAGTATGGTAGCACAGTTCACACCCACCTGTTCAAACTTCTTAACAATGGACAGTCCACTGGCCCTGTGTGGACAGGAACCCTCTATCTTGGGTCTAGTGCCAGCCCTGCCCCTTGTGTAAGAGTGCTCAATCAGGAAAGGCCCCTGAAACTGGCACCTTAGGCCTCTTCCATACATGGACAAACTAAGTGGCTCCCCTGAGGAAAGCACAGTAAGGCTGCAGCAACATCCAGGCTTATCACCTGGTGTCCTCCATCTACCCTTGCCTCAGGACAGGTCAAAGGAAATGGGTCGAGTCAAGGGGCGATCCCAACCTTTGGGGGAATAAGGGGATAAGGTTGTGACTGTGCAGGCACACATACCTGTGTCCCCTACTCTTTTGGTCCATCTAGGTGGTATGGACTGTGCTAATCACACCTGGTTCTTAAGCCCATGCCTCCCTCTTTTGGCTAGTGCCCTCACTTAGGCAGGACCTCGGGGCTGGCTAGATCCTTCCCTTGAGGGCAGGGAGCTGCCTGTCCTGGACAATAAACGACCCCTGGCCTGCCTCCCCACTGACCATGCTTGCTCTCTGTCCCCAGCTGTGTGTCCTTCACCATCTATGTGTCCTGGGGCGAGCACTGTGAGCATCTGAGTGTGAAACTCGGGGCATTCTTCGGAATCCTCTTTGGAGCCTTGGGCGCCCTCTTGCTGCTTGTGGCATCTGTGGTCTTTTGCTTCTGGGGCTACTTGGCAAACAGGTCCTCCTACCCTCTGACCTCAGAATTCTGAGGCATCACTTCAGACTGTCAGCAACACCTAGGATACCTCAGGACCCATCCATCAACCTGCCACTGCTCTGAGGAGACTGGACAGGGAGCGAAGGTGATTTGGGATTCTTCAAGAATGAATAGAGTGAATAAGACCAGACTACACCTTGTCAGTAGATCAGGGGTACAGGAAAGGACCATGAAGACCAAAGATATAAATGGATGGGTTCCCACACTGATATAACCTCAAGGAGAACAGTAGCCTATATGTAAGTGCAACCTACACACACACACACACACACACACACACACACACACACACCAGAGGTAGTGGGGTAATTGTCTCTACATTAACCAAAATGTTTTTACACATAAAACTCTGATAAAAACTATTTAAATAAAGTGTCTCTGATTTTTTTGTGTCTCTAAACCTTGGACTCCATTCCAGATTTTCTTCTGGTGGCTGAAGATCTAGGCACAGAGCCTTCTCCCAACCATCATAAGGCAAAGACAGAGGTTAAGTGTTAGGCAGGTGGTGGAGGAACAGGGTGGCTGGACCCAGCTTACTGTAGCTCCCTGCAGCTCCATGTTAGTCCCCTCAGTGGCCACTGCTTTGACATGGTCCTTGCTTCCTCCTCCATCTCATCCCACCCCTATATAGATCCATTGCTTTGGGTGTGGTTGATCCTCAAAGATTGGTGTCTTGGAGGCTTGGTCCTTGGTACAGCCATGTTGAGGTGGTGATCCTTCGATGGGCAGGGCCTAGTACAAGGTGGTCGGGTCATGGAAGTCACCCTCAGAAGAGACTGATGTATTTCTCAAAGGACCCCAGTTCCTTTGGGAGTTTTTACCTCATGAGGCTACCCAGTACCTTTGGCCTCTTCTGCATGTAGCTTATCGCCTTTCTGTTTCTCTGCCATTTGTGACCTAGCCGGGGAGGACCTCACCAAAGGCGAAACAGATTAGGCCACCCAGTCTTGGACTTTCAACTTCTAAAACACCTGCCTCCTGAGTGCTGGAATTAAAAGCATACACCACCACACCCAGCTAACATTAAATTTTTGACAAACCACTGCCACAAATAATTATTTCAAATATGGATGTTCTATGAAATATTTGGGACATCCTTCTATTTTTAAGAGTATTTGTTGTTTATCTGAAGCTGTAACGTAACTGATATCCTGTATTTTATCTAGTAGGCCAGGTCGTAATTGCTGAGGCACTGAGAACACAGAAGGAGGAGGCGGCAGGGAAAGGAAGGTGTCCAGGGGACACACTTCTCTGGCTGACAGAGAGCTACCTTTCTGAATGGCATAGCTAGATCTAGGACACAATGCAAATTTTCATCAGCTCACTTCTGGCTTTGTGGCTTTGTGATTTGGATTCTGTCACTTCGACATCTGAGATAAACAATGTACTGGTCCTTCTTCAGGGTGAAGGCTTAGTCAAGAGAAGGGGGCAGACACACGCTCTAGCTCAGAAGGTAACAGACAGCTAAGACACTCTCAGGGCCACTGGAAAACAAAGGGAATGGGCTGGAGCCAAAATATAAGTGTCATCCGGCATGGTAGCCCACACCTTTGATCCCAGCAGTTGGGGAGATCTCTGTGAATCCAAGGCCAGTCTGGCCCACATAGCAAGTTCCAGGACAGCCAGGGCTATCTAGTGAGAGCTTGTCTCAAAAATAAACAACAAAAATGCCAATACCCTTGCTAATTCTCCCCTGCTGTCAAAAGAGCCTTCCAGAACCTTCCTTTGGGCCTAAAGCAAGAGTTGAATGACCAAGATGACAGGGAGAGGCTAATGGACACACTGTACCACTTCTAACTTTACTGATGCTAGGAAGTCATGTGGTGCCTACTCATTTACAGGCGGGGCACACCATGGGATTGGTTACCAGTCACTGCTTTGCACAGGTTTGTGGAGGGCCCTCTCGGAAGGAAGAACTAGTGGGAATGGAAGCTTCTGGTGGTCTTGTCTGAAAAGCATCTCATTAACGGTGTCTTTTTTTTCTTTTTCTTTCTTTCTTTTTTTTTTTCTGGTCTTTTTGAGACAGGGTCTCCCTGTAGCTTCAGCTGACCTGGAACTCACTATGTAGAACAAGCTGGCCTCAAATTAACAGAGATCTACCTGCCTCTGCCTCCCAAGTGCTGGCATTAGAGGCTTATGGCCCCATGTTGTCCTCTTGATGGATTTGGGGTTTACTTTCTTGGAATTCATCCTGAGTTACCAATGACAAGATGGGTTGTCTTATTTAGGTCAACACCTACCTTTGTCTTTATGAAATATGTGGTTGGTGTGTGTGTATATGTGTGTGTGTGTGTACATTTGTGCCCATGCACATGAGTTCAGAGGCCAGAGGATTTCAGGTGTCCTGCCTTATTCCTCTGAGACAGGGTCTCTCACTGAACCTGGGGATCACCATTTTATCTAGATTGGCTGGCCAGGAAGCTCCAGTGATCCTCCCATCTTCATCTCACTGCCTGTAGTGCTGGAGTTACAGGCTTGTGCGTGGACACATCTGGCTTTTTATGTGAGAGTTGGGAATCTGAACTCAAGTGTCTGTGCTTGTGCAGGAAGCACTCTTACTCCCTGAGCCATCTCCCCAGCCCCAGTAAACACCTCATATACATACACTGTTAGAATCTTAGATAGCTAGAAAATTTTCTCCAGGTCCTGTGCTTCCTGCTGATTTGGTGACATTATTTCCATTAATCTCAGTCCTCACCCCCCATTATAGTGCATAATAATTCCCAAATTCTTCTAATTGATGGATCCCATATTATAAATTTTCTGACTTACAGTAATAACGATCATCAGCATTGTATGTGCATGTCCTTACGTGTATGTAATTAAGATTAAATTAACCTCTGGATTAGGTGTTACCAGTTTAAGAAAGTACGGAATAAGAGAAGAAAAACGACTTGGAACTGGGTTCCTACAACAGTGGCCTTGATGCCGTCTGGCTGGCTGCTCTCCCCTCATGCCTCTTCACAGCACAGCTTCATAATTATGTCAGTAAACTGATCTTTTGTTTGACTTCTGTGATGGATAATCTTGGTTATCCACTTGACACACCTGGGAAGAGGGAACCTCCACTGAGGAATTGTCTCCATCAGATTGGCCTGTGGGCATGTTGGTGGGGCATTTTCATGATTGTTAATTAATGTAGGATGGTCCAGCCCATTGTGGGTAATACTATCCCTAGGCAGGTAGATCTAGGTTATATAAGAAAGGTAGCTGGGGACTGGAGAGATAAGATGGCCCAGCAGTTAAAAGCACTGGCTACTCTTGCAGAGGACCTGGGTTCAGTTTTTAGCACTCACATGGTGGCTAACAACCATTTGTAATTCCAGTTCCAGTGGATCTGATGCCTTCTTCTGGCCTCCACAGGTATTGCACAACTTGGGTACATGGGTGCTTTTTTTGGACCAGGTCTCCCTAGCCTCAGTGCCTCTGTAGGGAATCTGACAGTCATGAGGAGGTCCCATCTGAACTGGGCTTCTAAGAATGAATAGGGGTTTTCCAGGTGAAGGACCCTGGGTGTGAGAGTATTCCGGCAGGAAGGAATCACAAGGCCAAAGGCTCAAATCAAAGCAGGTGTAATGGGGAAGCATCAGGAGCTCCCATAGAAGGAAGATAGGATACAGGAGATGGGGCTCTAGGATCAGGGGTGAGAAAGTGGGTGGAGGCCACACCATGAAGACCCTTGTACATCAAGCAGGCTGCTTGTCTTGGAGGCAGCAACAGGAATGGCTTTGGTATTAGAAAAGAAAGTGCTAGAGATCATGTGAAAAATAGTTTGGAGGAAAAAACTGGTTCCATTTTAATAAGAGCAAAAAATATTTCATGCACTTCTTCCATGTTAATAAATACACATCTCAATGGCATTTCTATAGGTTGGGTTTTTTTTTTTAAAGATTTATTTTGAGGCAGAAGCAGGCAGATCTCTGTGAGTTCAAGGCCAGCCTGATCTATATAATAAGTTCCAGGCCAGCTGGGGCTACAAAGAGACCCTGTCTCGAAAAAAAATGTATTTTATTTTTAAGTTTTTGTGTGTGGATATGGGTGCATGAGTATGTGTGCCCTCCAAGGCCAGAAGAGGGCTTTAGATCCCCTGGAGCTGGAGTTACAGTCCTGACGTGGGTGTGGGAACTGAATTTGGGTCCTCTGGAAGAACAGCAAGTGCTCTTAACTGCTGAACCACATTTCTGTAAATTGTCCAAGATAACATTATATTTAGCCAAGCCACTAAATTTAACTAAACTTGCAAATTGGGATATCATAACTTATTTGTGGGTTTTTTTTTTTTTAGTTAACTGTTATAACCTATTCTGTATAGAAATTCTTCAATTTTCTTAAGATTGCTGTGTTAGCCGGGCGTGGTGGCACACACCTTTGATCCCAGCACTAGGGAGGCAGAGACAGGCAGATCTCTGTGAGTTCAAGACCTGCCTGGTCTACATAGTGAGTTGAAGGCCAGCTGGGGCTACAGGGGAGACCCTGTCTCAAAAAGACCAAAAAAAAAAAAAAAAAAAAATCACTGGTTGACTTAAAGGTATGCACATTTTAAAAGCTTTAAATCATCAAATAGTCAAATTGTCCTCCAAAAGTCTGTACCAACTTCATTTATGCTAGAAATGTTCAAGAATGTCTACTCACGCTTCAGTATAGATTTTTTTGTTTTGTTTTTCATCTTGTTTTGAGACAGGGTCTCACTATGTAGCCCTGGTTGGCCTGAACTTGCTATGTAGACCAGGCTGGCCTTGAACACACAAATATCTGCGTGCCTCTGTCTCCCAAGTGAGTTCTTGGCTTACATTTACATTACTACCATGCCTGGCCAAAGTACAGACACTAAAGCTTTTATAAATCTTTACCCACTTGACACATAGTAAATGATGTCTAGCTATATTATTTTCCCCATTTTTATGAGGGAAGTCAAATTTTCTGTTTCATGGAAAAGGCATCCACATTCCTTTTTCAATATGTCACCTCTCTGCCATAATTTTGTTTTTCAGATGGTATGCTTTTTGTTTTTTTTTTTTAATTGCTCTGTAAGAGTTCTCTATAGAGGGTCTAGGGAAATGGTTCAGCAGTTAAAAGCACTGGCTGCTCTTGCAGAGGTCCTGGGTTAGGTTCCCAAAACCTATCTGGTGGCTAACGACAGTCCATAACTCCAGTTCCAGGGGATCCAACACCCTCTTCTGACCTCCATACATGAGTGCACTTACATACATGCAGGCAATATACTCATACACACAAAATAAAAAAATAATAAATAAAATATTTTTAAAATTAAAAAGGGTTCTCTGTAGAGTGAGGGAGCTCTGTTTTCATCATATGTATACAAATAGTTTTTAGTCTGCTACTCCCTGTGGAAAGAGACATCTTTGAATGCGCCACAGCAATGACACGTCTCTCCAATGCTGTAAGTACTCAACTAACATGTCAGGGTAAGTGTTTGAGTTATTTTCATCCACTTAACTTTATGAAACTCAGTCTTGCCCCACTGTGAAAATACAAGGCATCAGTTGAATATATATGTTTTCTTTATTCAGAGCAACATTAAGTTGGCTTGTTGTTTTCATCATTCATTTAATAAGTTTATGAAGCAACTTCTTTTGGTTTTAATTCTGTGCTGGGGATTGAACCTGGGACTTTGCTCATTGATAAGAACATGTTTTACAACTGAGCCACATCCCCAGCACATGAAACACTTCTTATGTGCACCAGGGACACCACAAGGGGTAAAAGATTTCATCCTAGTTGGAGGACACAGACAATAAACAAGACAAGTAAACGAAATACATACATTAGGTTGTACTAAAACAGAAGAGCAGTTGGTTTGTAAAGAGGGTGGGCAGGGACCATGGGTAGAGCACACTGAAATGGGGTGGAGGGAAGTGTGGGTGGAGGGGGTAACTGAGTGGGTGTCTGGAGGACAGGCCTTGTAAGCAGACTGAGCAATGCATACAAAGGCCTCAAGACAAGAGCAGGTCTGTGCATCCAGGGAACAGCAAATCATATACTGCTTTGCAGGCTATTGCCCAAATTAAGCCTTTCATCTGAATGAAATGGAAGAGTTAGGAGCACAGGACTGTCACATGTTATAAAAAGACATCTCTGGCTGATGTCTGGGGTCTGAGTTATAAAAATATGGGCTTGGGGTGGGCACAGGTACACACAGGAATCCCTGTAGTAATCCAAGGAGATTGGAGTCATGTAGGTAAGAGATAGCACCTCAGACCACCTAGGAGAAGGCAGAGGAGGTAAGTGTATTGTGAAGGGGGGATAGGTGTAAAGTATTGTTTGAGGCAGAGGAGCCAACAGAATTTCCTGGTATAAAATGTGATAAAGAATGGTTCCAAGGATTTGGACTTGAGCAACTGAAGGATGCCAGCGGTGTTAACTGAGAGGAAGACGCAGCAGAGCAGGTTTAAAGAAAACAGAGCTTCAGAACTGGAAGTGGTAATGTGAGGCATCTCTTTGACATCCATGTGGTCAGGTTGAGTAAACAATTGGATATAT